GATTTTTATCCAGTGGATAAAACCACCTGGGTAATTCCTTGGAATTTTGGGAAAAGCTCCTCAAAACTCATCCCAGATTTCTCCCAATCCCAGCAGGAATTGCCTCAATCCCTCCCCAGCTCCAGGGGCGGCACAGGCCAGAATCCAAAATGGAAAAATCCAAAGGTTTTTTTCCCCCTTTTTTTTTTTTCAAAAGCCAGGAATTGACTTGGGAATTTTTGGCTTTTCCAGAGGAACAAAGCTCCAGGATCCCGCTTTTGTTCTGGGAATCCAAAGCGGCCCCAAGCTCATTTGCATATTCAAAATGCCTTTAATTATCGCTCCCGCTAATTACCCGCCCTAATTAAGTCATTAGCACAGCCCGGGCCTTTCGGAGCTTCCCAAATTTCCCAGCTCACTGCCTCCTATCCCATTGGAAAACTCCAGGGGGGATTTTTGGGAAAGGTTTTCCCGATGCTGGGGGAAGGTTCGGCTCTTGGGAAAAATCCGGGAGGAATTTACGGAGCTTTTCCCGAAATTCCAAGGAATTAATCAGGTGGTTTTATCCATTGGGAAAAAAATCCAGGATGATTTTGGGAGCTTTTCCCAAAATTCCAAGGAATTACCCAGGTGGTTTTATCCACTGGGAAAAATCCAGGAGGATTTTTTGGGAAGGTTTTCCAGCTGGGAATTCTGGTCCGTGCCATTCCTGGAGCTGGGGAGGGATTGATGGAATTCCTCTTGGGATTGGGAGAAATCTGGGATGAGTTTTGGGGAGCTTTTCCCGAAATTTCAAGGCTGTGGTGAGATCATCCAGATGATTTTGCTCATTGGGAAAAATCCGGGATATTTCTGGGAGCTTTTCCCAAAACTCCAAGGAATTATCCTGGTGGTTTTATCAACTGGAAAAAAAAAAATCTGGGATAATTTCAGGTGAACTTTTCCCAAAATCCAGGATTTTTTAGGATCGGGAGCCAACTCCTGCCAAGATTGGATCCAATGGCTCCTGGATGATTTCCAATCCTTTTCCCTCCTCCCAAAAATTCCAGAGCCCTCCCTGAGCCGGGATGAGGGAATGGGGACCCTCAGAAATTTGGGAATTCTGCCCTCTGGGAGCAGCCTGGGAACTCCCTCGTTCCAAACTCTGGGAATTCCTGGAGGTTCTGGCAGCTCCAAACTTCCTCGGGATCCCATCCTGGATTCCTCAGGGATCCCGGATCCTGGAATTCCAGGGGATTCCTGCTCCCACTATGCTGGAATTCCAGAGGATCCCCGCTCCCATTATGCCGGAATTCCAGAGGCTCCCTGCTCCCGGTATCCCGGTGGACCGCAGTCCCCGGTATTCCAGAGGATCCTGCTCCTGCTGGATGCCGGTGTTCCCGGTCCATCCCGGTGTTCCCGGTGCTCCCGGCATTCCCGCGGTTCCCGTTGGATCCCGGCCATGCCCGGGGTGATTCACGGGCACCGCGGGAACGCCGGGAGCGCCGGGAACACTGGGATGGACCGGAATGGACCGGGAATGGACCGAGATGGACTGGGAATGCCGGGAGACGGACCTGGAATGCCGGGAATGGGGACAGCCGGGGCTGGGGGATACTGAGATGGACTGGGGGATACTGGATGGACTGGGGGGAAACCTCAGCTGAACTGGGAGCCCCTGGGCCGAACTGGGAGCGCCGTTTCGAGCTGCACTGGGGACCCTTCATTTCAACTGGGAAACAATGGTTTGTACTGGGAGACTCTCGTGCTGTACTGGGAGACCCTCTTGTTCTACTGGAACCCACTGGTTTGTACTGGGAGACCCTCGTGCTGTACTGAAAGCCACTGGTTTGTACTGGGACACCCCCAGCACCACCACACCGAGACCCCAACTCATCCCCAACCGGGATCCCCCGCTGTCCCCCCGCTGTCACCTGCAGGTGTAGCTGAGGTTCCTGCGGATGCTGCGCTTGAAGAAGCTCTTGCAGCCCTCGCAGGTGAACACGCCGTAGTGCTTCCCGCTGGATTTGTCCCCGCACACCACGCAG